ATAGTGAAATAAATATTTCCCCCTGCTACGTTAATATGAAGGGTGTAATTAGCTACAGGGACCAAAACTGTTCTTTTCATCAGGCCAAATGAGTCTGTGGTAATTAACTCTCTTTTTGAGAAACTGACTGAAGTGCACTTAAGTGGATTAGATGAACTGCAGGTTTTTGTCATATCCCTTTGATTTTATTTTTCAGACCTGGAGGTTGCTACTTGGTTAGGACTAGTTCCTAGCTAACTAGTGTGTTAAAAGGAGTTTCTATCAACCTTTTCCCTTGTTGGCAAACTCTGAGATTTATTGTTTTTCAAAACTCCTCACAATCTACCGTATTTTTCGGACCATAAAGTGCACTGGATTATAAGGCAGATTAAGTGAAACAAAACAGTCAGATAAGTCAGACTTTACTCAACTCATTCTTCTTGCTTCCTCCACTTTCGTACCATTGATTCATTAATGTTGTAGTGATGGGAATCCTGGCTATTCCAGTAGGTGGGGGACAGGACCCCCTAATGATCCTCTACCTAATCACATGAGCCAAGGTGTGAAAACGGGTGTGGGTCGCTGTCAGTCAAGGTTTCAGGTGAGCTCATTGTGAAACCCAGCCCCACCCTATCATGTGATTTCCTGAGGTCAGATGGCCCAGGGTGTGAGTGGGCATTAAGATGTCTGGGAAGGGATCTGAGCTCCTTAGACTACGATGACCTGGATGACTGAGAACCTTCACAGACATATTATCTCAGTTGTTCTCCTGACTGAAGTTTGGTCCGTTTACAGCATCCTGCCACGCCATTGCATTTGTCCCTAACCATTGGGAACCCTCACGTTAACTTTTATCAAGTGGAAAAAAAAAGTTAGCATTCATCTTCCAATTTCACTGTGTTTATGTTATGCTAACATAGCTGTGTCGCTAGCGATCATGTAGCACATTATTATAAACCAGCTAGCCTAACTTCAGTAACCCTACAAAAGTCACTGCTGTTTAGTTTTCTGTTTTCATAGCTCTGCTATGACATGGAAGTGATAGCAGAGCTGTACGTTTTAATTTTTTCAGAAATCTGTCAGTCAGGACATGGTATATCATGTTTAGGTGGAAGCTAGCAAACTAACTTCCTGCTAACTTCTAACTCCGTTAAATGTAATAAATTCTGTTTTCATGGATGTTTGTATGTTAAACTTAATTGTTACACCTGGTAAAGCAGTAACGCTGATCATTTTATTAAAGATGAAAGAATTTAGACAGTGATGCTACAGTGTCCGTTTGACTTTGGGACCTGAAGCAGATGGAGTTTTGGACCCAGATTACTCCGCAAGGCTCCTGACTATGGTAGCTATAATGCTCTGACAATCCATCAAGTGGTGCAGCTTCGTAGCTTACCAAAGTCGTACTAAAACATTTTTTGACAGATTTTTGAGCTCCGTGTACCTCATCAAATTGGTTCAAGGTCAGTAAGCACAACCAGAATTCATACATAAGGGCACAGAATTATACTGTCGATTTTTGAGAAAATGAAAGGATTTCAAGTGTGCCTTATGATGCAGAAAATACGGTATATAAGGCTAGCTCAAATTATTTCATATGGTTATTTTTTATATTTCTGGTTGTATTGTGAAGCACTTTGTGATTTTTATCTTTGAAAAGTGCTATATAAATCCATTAAACTTACTCTTCATAATAAGCATCCTCCCTTTTGGTACCATTTTCCGCAAATCATTTCTCACTCACTATCGATAACTCCACAGTTTTCCCCTCACCTCAGGTTAAGAGCCGTGGTGTCATCTTAGACAGTTCACTATCTTATAAATCTCACATCAATAAACTCATCCATTCTGCCTATTTCCATCTACGTAATATTGACCCATTACGTCCTTCTCTTTCCTCCTAGTCTACGTCTACCTTCTTGTCCATAGTCTCGTTACCTTCTGCCTTGACTATTGTAATTCTCTCTTGCATGGTCTCCCCCAAAAATCCCTCCATAAGCCTCAACTGGTTCAAAACTCTGCTGCCTGCATTATCACCAGAACCCCCTCCAACCAGCACATCACCCCTGTTTTTCAGGAACTTCACTGGCTCCCTATGAAATTCCGGATAATATGCAATCTTCTTTTGCTCACCTTCAAAGCCCTTAATAACCTAGCTCCTCCTTACGTTTCTGACCTGTTAAGCATTACCTCTTCTGCCCGCTCACTTTGATCTTCTTCTTCTATCCAACTTGCTGTACTTTCTTTCTGCCTCATTAACATGGGAAGCAGAGCTTTCAACTGCTCTGCTCTCAAATCCATCTGTTCAAATCTGCATATTCACTGTGAACTTAATGTTTGTTTATGTTATCTTTTACTTTTTGTTTTTTATTTTTCTTCGTTGTCATTGTTCTATTATGTGTTTCATTCTATTTTTAAGTGTCCTTGGGTGTCTTGAAAGGCGCTTTTAAATAAAATGTATTATTATTATTAATATTACTTACTTAGCTAAGAGGTAACTATGTCCAGTGGCCAAATTGTGTTATTGTATAATCATCTCTCTCCAGTCTTACCAGCCAGCCAAAGTGTTTTTAACTTTCAATCTCACTTTAGCCATACATTCATACAGTGTTTTATTTTATGTCATTATAAAATTGGGTACACATCCAAATGAAGAATATCTTACTGTGCATTACTTATACTCATGTCTTTTTATTGATTTGTAAGAAATTTAGCAAAATTTTCACTATACCTTACAGACTGTATGAACTTTGCGTTTTATTTCCTCAGCAAAGATGTTAAGTATGACAACTGTATCTATCAGTGGCCTTTGAGCTAGGAAGTAAGAGATATCAGTACATTCTGTTTTCTAATTTTCCATATCACAGATGGCATAGTTTTAAACGTGTATAATTTACACGTTTAACACTATTCTACATGCTAACATGCTCCCTAAACAATTCACTGTATTATATTAAAGTCAAATTCTTCACTCATAAATTTTTCCAAAACTTGTATGAAAGTCTAAAAATGATCCCACCGTTGTTCTGTGTCTTTAGATAATGGTTAACAGTGAAGTCTTTGGTTTTGTTGATGGTCTTTTTGTTTTTGAGGCTGTGGTTTATCTGTTAACATGAGCTAACAGCTCTGTCGCTGCTCAGTTTCCTGTTTCTAATGAAAACACTTCAGCTGCTCAGGTTTTACTGCAGGGCTTTTAAGAAATGTAAATGAACAGTCAAAACTCAACCTCAGTAAACTCATCTCAATACTGTTCACATGCCAATTTAGCATTTTAGTTTTATGTAGATAACAATTTAATAGTTTGCGTGAAATATTGACAGGCTGAACAGCTCATTCATCGTCCAGTAGTTTAAACATGTTTCGATTAAAGCTGGTAGCTCTGTGGTCATTCCTTTGACATATAGCTTTCCACATCAGTTTTTTTATTTATTTTTTTACACCAGTACTGTTAGAAGAAATAAAACTGTATAGTGCCTGATTATAGGAAGGGTCATGTACAGTCCTGTGAAAAAGAAAATTTTCATGTTATTTTATGCAATAATAAACAGAAAGACTAAGTACATTCTTAGTGCATTCACAGGAATTAAGATGACATGTAGCAGTCGGTTTCTAATTATTATACTTAATTAATTATGGTACGTGGACATCTCTTAAAGCAGATATTTGTGGAGTTTGCTAGTCCATGCATGATGCAATGCTAAATTAAATGAGTGGTCATCACAACCAATTCAACCCAAGGTCAGACCGTGCAGTGGTTAGAGAAAATATTTTAAAACTTTCATGGAAAATGACAACACATCATCCTAGTGCAAAGACAAGTGGAAGCAGACAAAAACAACAAGCACCATGCTACAAACCTTACCCGAGTCATTTAGACAGCCGTTAGCACATGATTCTCCTTATGGGGACCTGATATGTTTAATATGCTGCTGAGAATATAGCCCAGAAGAAGCGTATAGTATAGCTTTTATTTTGGAAAGAGCCATTTCTCTGTAATAAACTCTCTTTTCCAAAGATGAGTGATTTCTCGATCAGATAGATTATTTTTTTTATTTTGTTGTTTCAGCAACATTAAATTTAAAAACTGTACTTTTGAGTTAAAATATATATTTATAATTTTAATAAATGACAAATTAAAAAAGCATGAACATTTTTTGTCTGTGAAGGTTCTCAGTCATCCAGGTCATCGTAGTCAAAGGAACTTGGAAAGAAATGCGTCTGGACTTCTTTAAGTTGCTTGAAGACGTTTCACCTCTCATCCGAGAAGCTTCTTCAGTTCTAAGGTCAAATGGTGGAGAGTCCCAGATATAAACCTAGTGGGAGGGACCCCCCACGGAGGGACAAAAGGACCCCCTGATGATCCTCTAATCACCTGAGCCATGGTGTGAAATTGGGTGCGGGCCCCAATCAGCCAGAGTTTCAGGTGGGGTCATTGTGAAACCTGGCCCCACCTTGTCATGCGAATTCCTGAGGTCAGATGGCCCAGGATGTGAGTGGGCGTTAAGGCGTCTGGGAAGGGATCTCAAAACTGGATTATAGATGGCAGAGAGTTGGTGTCATAAACCCCCGCCTCTGTTCAAAGATGGTCGCTCACAGCGGACATAGATGGCTTCTTTCACTCCTCTTTCAAACCATCTGTCCTCTCTGTCCAAAATGTGAACATTGGCATCCTCGAAAGAGTGTCCTTTATCCTTAAGATGCAGATGGACTGCTGAGTCTTGTCCTGTGGAGGTGGCTCTTCTGTGTTGTGCCATGCGCTTGTGAAGTGGCTGTTTGGTCTCTCCAATGTAGAGGTCTGGGCATTCCTCGCTGCACTGTACAGCATACACCACATTGTTAAGTGTGTGTTTTGGCGTTTTGTCTTTCGGGTGAACCAGTTTTTGTCTGAGTGTGTTGCTGGGTCTGAAGTACACTGGGAACATTTTTTTGTATCGAAAAAATATCGAACCGTGACACCAAAGTATCGAACCGAACCGTGAATTTTGTGTATCGTTGCACCCCTAGTGGTTAGTTTTCGCTCTGGGTTAGTCATATTATATGGGCAAAGCATTGGGTCACACCTCTTAATCTTTGAATTCACATTTTTCGGTCGCAGGTGTATAAAATCAAACATTGAGCCCTGCAGTCTACCAAACAAACATCTGTGAAAGGAATGGGTCATTCTAAAGAACACACTGAAGTGAGTGTAGTACTGAAATAGATGTCAGCATTACAACAATCAGTTTGTGAAATTTCTTTCCTCCTAAATATTCTGTGATCAGCTTTAATCGGTATTAGTGCGGTTAGTTAGTATAGAAGCTATAGCAACTTACCCATAAAGTGGCAGACCACATGAAGTTACAGAGTGGGGTCACTGACCATTGAGAGGCAATGTGCGCAAAAGTCACCTACGTTCTGCTGACTAAATAACAAGAGTGCCAAACCTTTGATATTAACATCAGCACAAAAACTTTCTATTGAGAGTTTCATGGGATGAGTTTCCATAGCCGAGCAGCTCCTGCTGGTATGATGTGTACAGTCGTGTCCAAAAGTTTTGAGAATGACACAAATATTAGTTTTCACAAAGTTTGCTGCTAAACTGCTTTTAGATCTTTGTTTCATTTGTTTCTGTGATGTACTGAAATATAATGACAAGCACTTCATACGTTTCAAAGGCTTTTATCGACAATTACATGACATTTATGCAAAGAGTCAGTATTTGCAGTGTTGGCCCTTCTTTTTCAGGACCTCTGCAATTTGACTGGGCAGATGCTCAATCAACTCCTGGGCCAAATCCTGACTGATAGCAACCCATTCTGTCATAATCACTTCTTAGAGTTTGTCAGAATTAGTGGGTTTTTGTTTGTCCACCCGCCTCTCGAGGATTGACCACAAGTTCTCAATAGGATTAAGATTTGGGGAGTTTCCAGGCCATGGACCCAAAATTTCAACGTTTTGTTCCCTGAGCCACTTAGTTATCCCTTTTGCCTTATGGCACGGTGCTCCATCGTGCTGGAAAATGCATTGTTCTTCACCAAACTGTTGTTGGGTTGTTGGAAGAAGTTGCTGTTGGAGGATGTTTTGGTACAATTCTTTATTCATGGCTGTGTTTTTGTGCAAAATTGTGAGTGCAGCCCACTCCCTTGGATGAGAAGCAGCCCCACACATGAATGGTCTCAGGATGCTTTACTGTTGGCATGACACAGGACTGATGGTAGCGCTCACCTTTTCTTCTCCGGACAGGCCTTTTTCCAGATGCCCCAAACAATCGGAAAGCGGCTTCATCAGAGAATATGACTTTGCCCCAGTCCTCAGCAGTCCATTCACCATACTTTCTACAGAAGATCAATCTGTCCCTGGTGTGTTTTTTGGACAGAAGTGGCTTCTTGACACCTGGCCATCTTCCAAAAGTCTTCGCCTCACTGTGCTTACAGATGCGCTCACACCTGCCTGCTGCCATTCCTGAGCAAGCTCTGCACTGGTGGCACTCCGATCCCGCAGCTGAATCCTCTTTAGGAGACGATCCTGGTGCTTGCTGGACTTTCTTGGACGCCCTGAAGCCTTTTTAACAAGGATTGAACCTCTTTCCTTGAAGTTCTTTATGATCCTATAAATTGTTGATTTAGGTGCAATCTTAGTAGCCACAATATCCTTGCCTGTGAAGCAATTTTTATGCAACGCAATGATGGCTGCACGTGTTTCTTTGCAGGGTTAGAATGGCAGAGCTGACATGTTAAAAGGAGGGTGATGCTTGAAATCATTGTTCTTCCACTGTTAACCATGGTGACCAATCAGCCTGACATAATGATCTCCAGTCTTGTGCTCATCAACATTCTCACCTGAGTTAACAAGACGATTACTGAAATGATCTCAGCAGGTCCTTGAATGACAGCAATGAAATGCAGTGGAAAGGATTTTTTGGGATTAAGTTAATTTTCATGGCAAAGAAGGACTATGCAATTCATCTGATCACTCTTCATAACATTCTGGAGTATATGCAAATTGCTATTATAAAAACTTAAGCAGCAACTTTTCCAATTTCCAATATTTATGTAATTCTCAACACTTTTGACCATGACTGTATGCCCAGGCTTCTAGCATCTTTCACCCTGCTGTTATATGTTATATGTTATAATTCTCAAAACCTTTGGCCACAACTGTAGGTGACCCAGTGTTTTTGTTCATGTGATATAGTTCAGTGGCAGTTGCTGATGTAGTTCATTAGTTTTTTTATTCTCTCCAATTTGACTACTCTACAGAATGGAAGGAGTAGGACAACATTGTGTGGAAATTAAAATAACAACAGTAGGGTCTCTATAGCTGTGTCTCTGTAATCATGTCCTCTGTCTTCATTTTACTCTGCAGAGACTGATCCAGCTGCAGTCTACTCAGCAGTGAGAACGGAAGCTGTCAGTTATGGACAAATCATCATCAAAGACAAGAAAATGAAATCAAAGATAAGAGGTACAACATCTCTTCTTTGTCTCCATCATGGTTAAGCACCACAACCACAGTCTATCAGGTGTTCAGAGCAAATAAGAAAGACCTGATAGAGGTTTTATTGCATTTCACAGGGGCAATGTTTGTTGTAAATACTAGGATGCTGTTTGATTATGTGGTGGAGACTGTTAAAAGTTTGCTCGCATGTTGCAGCATAGTTGGAGTTCCTCAAGTGTGTAACTCCAGTGAGGGTTCAATGAAGAAATCAATCTTAATACAGGAGAGAAGTCACAAAGGGCTTAAAGGGAAGACAAATGAGATTCCACCACCATAAATGCAGGCGGAGATTTTTAATGGAATACTAAGCTGGAGGTTTTTTTTTTCTATGGTGTTATGAGAACCTCAGAAACAAATCTCCTATTACGTAGATGCCATATGCAGACTTGTGAGATGCATCATTTCAATTCCTCAGGCAGTTTGATGATTAGCTCAGACCATCCATCCACCTGCTTAATCAGTTCAAGGTTGTGGGAGCCCGTAGCAAGGCTAACACATTGAGACAAGCTCATATTCACATGTACTGCCAAGTTAGAAACAGGAGCTAAGCTAGAGTATGTCTTTAGGTAGTTGCAAGCCAAATAACAAAACTAAGCAACTGGTAAGGTTAAGGTAACGTAAAGGTAAGGTAACGCTACTCATTCTGAATTCTCTGAGTATTAAACCTCATTTCAAGTCAGATTTTAACTGGACATAAAAAATTTTTTATGATGGACAAACACCATCATATTTTACATTCTGATTTCTTACACCAGAACATAACATGTTAATAAGATAATGAAAACTTGGTTTTAAGTGTGTTTTCAGCAACTGTTCTTTAACTACATCAGTGGTTTGTTTGTTTTAAATTTGTGTAAAACCACAAATGGCTATTTCCTCCTTTTGTTTCCATGAAACTGACATGTGTACACAGAATTGTCATCGCAGTGTGCATATAGTGTGACAAAGTGTGAGTCTGGTTTATGTTTTGGGTGTTTGGGTCTGAAACAAGAAAGATGACCACAAAGCTTCTGAAAGCCCCTGACAGTTTCTGTGAAAGGTTTTAATAGAGCTATCTGGGAAATGATAACTCTTTTTTTTCATTTTTTTTAACGCACATCCTCTGCACTAAGAGTATTTTTTATAAGCTGTGGTATGTGCAGTGACGTCCTCTGTGTGTTTTACTCTGCAGAGTGTGATCCAACTGCAGTCTACTCAGACGTGAGAACTGATGATATCAGTTATGGAGAAATCACCATCAGACCAAACAGACCCAGAGGTAACTGATGCTCTTTGTTCACTGAGAAAGAAAATTAGTTTGTTGTCTGATAAGGAACTGCTCCTTTTTTTAAAACATGAGCTGCCGACATCAGTTGTTCAGGAGAAGACTTTAC